ATTTTATATCGACAATTTTGAGATGTAATTTTAAAATATATATTTTATTAATTAATTGCTAAAAGAACAAGAGGTATTACATATTCACATGATCAAATTAACATTAGCTGCCAGAGAAAAAAAAGAAAGGAAGAAAATTACATAAATTTCAATGCTTTCAGAGCATTACATGTTTTCGGTGCTTTTTGTTCTTTCCAAGAGATTTAAATGTAATTTAAAGTCATTTATTAAATGTGAAAAATGTATTTTGAGATGTAAATATGTTGTTACCAGAGCCGTTGAGAAAAAAGCTCTGGTTGTTACTGTGACGCTACAGTCACGTGCCTGTCTGTCAGCGATCTCTGTCCTCTGATTGGACGAGCAGTTTCAGCACAACTAGCACCAACTCGGTCAGTGTAGTTCATAAACAATTCATCTTCTAATCGGCTTCTCGGTTGAATTATAATATTCTCCGCAGTTCTGAGGAAATCTCGTCGAGACTGTTTTGAGTTTCGTCTGAATGGCTGAAATCTCCGTTACAGGTAAGCGGTTAATTATGGCTTCTCGCCTGAAAACGGCTAGCTGTAGTGAAGTGTGGTTGGTTACGGCCTCTCACCTCAGCAATATTATCTAAGTAGTTATTTGAGAAAATCAAACTAACGTAAATAAAAAAGAGATGTGTTGTGACTTCTTTAAGCGATTTATTTGACCGTTTACAGAAGGATATTTTACCAGCCATCATCACTTTACGTCGTGTCACGTCCATAAGAACGAAGTGGAAGGAAGTTTGTCAATGTGTAACCAATTAAAAGCACGAAAAGAGTGTCAGTAAATTCATGAATTGTATTTCGGACTTTCTAACAGTAAAGAGAATGGCAGGTCACGTCTTATCTTTACCATGTGACTGCCTGTTGCAAAAAAGCTGAGTCACTGTGTGTAGAACGTACAGTTTATGCAAAGAATCCAGTCATGGCTGTATATAGATAGTGCTGCAGTAATAAAGTCAAAGGGCAGAAAATAATCCTGACAACCATTTGTCTTCACTTTTAGACACATCGAAGTTGAATCCAGAGTCTGCCGAGTTTGTACCACAAGCTAAACCCAACCAGCCCTACTCTAGGAGAAGTTACAGGCAGCAGCACCACACTCAGGACTGGAGGGCTCAACATGTTAGGCCTCATCATCACTTTAGACAGTCCGATGCGACTAAGCATGGTCAAGATGAGTCTGACAACCCTGCCAGTTATACATTACCACCTCCTGAACTTCCCATAAGAGGTAGAGGAAGACAAAGAGGAGGACGCGGTGATGGTAGGCGCATTAATGACAATCGTGCTCAGAATGAGAGATGGACAAAACCTGGAAGTGATAACGACTGCTCCGGAAGGGACCACGGAGCTTGTGGCCGTGAGCGACCCAACTCACCCACTTCTAATAGATCCACGGATGAGGAGAAGAAAGAAAGAACAACTGTGGAAGCCGACGTAAGAGTGTCTTATCAAGCTAGCCGACGTAAACAGCCCAATAAAGCAAGAGTTGAGAGATCGATGAAGGAGCCTCAGCCCAAGGACCAAGAGGAGAACAGGGAAAACCAGGCTGATGCAGGAGACACAAAGCCTGCAGCAGTTCATGAACATCCAGAGCCTGAGCAGAGGAACCATAAGGGATGGAGAGGTGGAGATCGCCGCATGCAGCCCAGTTCCTGGAGGAAAGGGCTGGCCCCTAACCATGGGATTGAAGGTAACTGGAGAGAAAGAGAACCTGCTCAGATCAGAGAGGAGGAGAGGAGAGGTGCAGAAGTTGAGGGTGGAAACCGTGAGGAGTTCAACAGGAACAGAGGAGCTGCGAGAGGGGAGGA